AGGAGAAATTTCAAGAACACCTTAATTCAGCACCTTGGCATGTTGGGGAAGTTTTCGATAGTGTGGAGGATCGGATTGGTTTTGTAAGTACACTAATGACGGAGATTGTCAATGACCATATGCCATTTAAACAAATGCGTGTCAGAGATCAGGATGTACCATATATGAACTCAGAGTGGAAGGAGGCAATACGGGCTAGACGCAGGGCTGCCAGGCGATACAGGAGGACAAATGCTCCAGAGGACTTGATCAATCTTAAAAAGTTTCGAAATGAGGCGACTAGACTGCGCAGGAAAGCAATAAAGAGCTATTGGAAAATGAAAGCCGAGGATCTTGAGAACAAACCACAAGACTTTTATAAAACTTTTATGCCCTTCTTGTCATCAAAGTCACTGACTGCAGGCAAGTCATTAAGCTTAATATTAATGGGCAAGCTAGTAGTAATAAGGTTGACATATCCGAGGCTTTTGGGGAGTATTTTGCAACAATTGCTGATGGTATTGGCCAATGGATATGAATAGGTACTCTCTGGGTGATTTTGACAATCACAGCAGTTTGATGGCCATAAGGGCAGCTAACCACGATAATAGTCAGTTCTTCTCTTTCCAAAGCGTTAAACCTTGTGAAGTTGAGGACAGGCTTAAAAAGCTGAGGCTAGGCAAGGCTATGGGCTGGGACATAATCCCCCCGAGGGCACTTATATCTGGGGCTAGTGAATTGGCTGTACCACTTGCCAATCTGTTTAACATCTGCATTGAGCAGGGGCACTGGCCAACTGACTGGAAGAAGGGAGAATGGACCCCAGTTCACAAGAAAGACGATCAACTGCAAAAAGAAAACTGTCTTCCTGTGACTGTGCAAACTGTTATCAATAAAATCTCTGAGCAACTCCTTTCTTCCCAAATCACTGGTAACTATAATAATCGCCTGTGTGACCATTTGACTGCATATAGAAAGAGGAACAGTTGCGAGACTGCCTTGTTATACCTGACTGAGAGCTGGAGGCACTCACTGGACAATGGGGAGTGTGTTGGTGTGTTGTCAACAGATATGAGTAAGGCGTTAGATTGTCTGTTCCCACCACTCATACTGGCTAAACTAAGAGCATACAGTTTTGATGATGTCAGCCTCAAACTCATGGCATCATATTTTGAAAATCACCAAGCAAGAGTGAAGCTAGGGTCTCTTCTCTTGGGCCTTTGATGTGGAATCTTTATCAGAATGATCTGTCTTATGTAATGAAGTCGAATATCTCCATGTATGCCAATGATCACCAGTTTTTCGAAGCAAGTAAAGATGACCAGCTAATCCCAACAAGATTACAGGAGAGTGCAGTTGCAGCAACAAGTTGGTATAAAGAGAACTGTTTACAGGGAAACTTTACCAAATATGGTAGCATGCTCATTAGCAAGCATAAATATGCCAATATCAATATTTACATAGACGGTAATAGAGTTTCCCACTATCAGAACATTAAATTATTAGGTGTACCCATTGATTCTCAATTGACATTTAATGTCCACATAAGTGAGATTTGCAAAAAAGCTAGTCAGAGAGTGGGAGTAATGATAAGGCTGCGCAACTTGATACCAACCACTGCTAAGCTGCAGCTGTATAAGGCTGCAGTCTTGCTCTATTTGACTTACTGCAGTACTGTATGGTACTTTTGCAGGGGAAGTGATGCAAGAAAACTGGAGCATGTCCAGGAGAGGGGTCTTAGGGCAGTTTTCCGTGACTGAAACGGTAACTATGGGCAGTTGTTAGAATGGGCTAAATTGCCCACCCTAATGAACCGTAGACTGCAAGATATAGCGACCATCATGTATAAAGTAAAATTTAAGCTAGCACCAAGTTATATACAAGATTTATTTTCAGCAAATCACACAGTGTATAACTTAAGAGTTAAAGATTTTACTATTCCTAGATTTAACTCTAATAATTATGGCAGGCATTCCCTTAGGTGTTTAGGACCTGTGCTATGGGCTAAGCTACCTTCCGGCAGTTAGAGGAATGGATTTGAAAATGTTAATGGACGATGGTGGCTGTGTGGGCTGCTTGGTTTGCAGTGCATGATCCTTAGTTATATCGTAATCAGGCTCAGACTATTCCTCCCCCTCCCCACGTCTTTGCAGTGCATGATTCTCAGTTATACCTTATTTAGGCTGAGACTATTTCACTCCCCCTAGCCTAATTCTGCTGACCACAAATTTTATGCTATTTATTCGTATATTTTATGCTATTTATTCGTATATTTTGTGCTATTTATTCGTATATTTTATGCTATTTAATCGTATATTAATATTTAGTTATTCATTATTTCATCTAAATTATCTTGTTGCATCCTTACTTAGTGGTTTTATTACTGCTATTTTTTCGGTCACAGATTCATTCTCTTTTGTTGAAGAGCTCAGGAGTTTCGATCTTAACAAGAAGTTTCTCATTTCCTTTGATGTTGAAAGTCTCTTTACCAATATTCCGTTAAATGAAACCATTGTTATTACTGTTGATCTTATTATCAAACATGAACCTAAATTTTCGATCAAAAAGTCCGACCTTAAGAAACTTTTTTCATTCACTACAGCTGAGACTCGTTTTCTTTTTAATGGAAAATTTTTATGATCAAGTTGATGAGGTAGCGATGGGTTCTCCGTTAGCACCCATCCTAGCTAATCTTTTCTTGGTTTCCACGAGGAAACGTGGCTAGATAATTTTAACCATTGGACTCGCCTTCTACTTTATAGGCGTTATGTTGACGACACCTTTTGTGTCTTCCACAATAAACAGGATGCAATGTCATTTTTTTATTACATTAATTCACGGCACCCCAACATAAAATTCACTTTCGAAAAAGAGCATGGTGGTAAACTCTCCTTTCGTGATATATTTATCGACAACTCTTGGAATGATTGTGTTTTTTCAGTTGTTCATAAAAAAATCTACACTGGTCTCCTAACAAATTTCTTCAGTTTTATTCCATCATGCTACAAAATTGGCCTAATCCAAACTCGTATTGACCGTATCTACAAAATCAACAACACCTCTTCCGGTCTTTAAAACGATCTTAAGAAACGTTTCGACACTTTAAAACGTAATTATTTCCTTCGCATATTATTGAAAGAACTTTCAAGCGGTATCTTGACGGGACCTCCTCCCAAAATAGCCGGAACATTGATGACAATAATACACGTAATTTAGATTCCCTTTTGTCGGGCATTATTCTAAAATAGCGAACCTTAAACTCCGACAACTCTCTAAGCGCTTCTGTAAATCGGACCTAAATATCAAACTAGTTTTCACTTCTTTCAAAATGAAAAACATGTTCAGGGTTACAGATCGTACTCCTGATGCTCTAAAATTCATGGTAGCTAATCAATTTGTCTGTGCGGGACGTAATACCCGTTATATTGGCGAGACTAGTCGTCACTTCTCTACTAAGATAAAGGAGCACACGGAAAGCGATAAAAACTCGCATATTTTTAAGCATTTTAACACATCTCCTTCATGTAAGAACAAATACTCCCTTTCTTGCTTTAGTATTCTGGGGCACTGGGGCACTGGGACACTGGGGTAGGACAGGTTGGACCTCAGCTTACCTCGGGGACATGGACGACACCGCCCACCAGAGTCTGGGGTGACACCTTTGACAAGTGTTCGCAACCCCGCAGCCAACCCTGCTAGGATCACAACACAGGGTAGATAGGGCTATGTAAAACCTTGGTTGGTACTCTATCTAGTCATGACACCACGAATAATAATGCCATCTCTTACCTATGTGAGAGATGGCATGGATCGAATGGCAGGATAGACCAGGTCGTTCAGCCTTACCAGGCAACCGGTCGAAGGGAACCAACCCTAACAGAAAATCTGGAGTAGAGCCCCTTAGGTGGTGAATAGATATACTTGTCATCCTCAGGCAGCTAAGTCCTCAACGGCGGATCAGGCAAATGTGAAGTCGGAAGAAAGCTGCAGCAGAACTTAGAGGTGCCATCGTCTTGGTTCTTCCTTACCACGAAGTCCTCTTCTGAATCTGTCAAGTACTGTGTGCTTCATGGAGCGCAACATGGACTACACATTAAACAAACTCACGCGCAGGCGTTCATTTCATCACATCAACTCATTCAACGTTATCTATAGCAAGTCTGTCGGCGATCATTGATTGGCGACGGGGGCAGGCTTGTGAGGCTGGGAGCCCCTAGTCATGTACTGGCACGTGCAGCGGGAACACTTAACTATGATGTCGTTCAAGTTTAGGAACTGAAGTGGGGAAACTGGTCCAGCAGCGGTGTTCTGACTGAGCAGTCCGTTTTAGGATCCACTCTGCTCACCCCATCAGGGGAGGGGGTTAGAAAAAGTGCCCTAAACATAGCCTACTTCATCTAATCTGCCTGGGAGGCCGCACCCAGGGGAGCACCACTTACAGCGGTAGGAAAAGAAAAGAAAAAATTAACACATTAAAATTTGGAACTTGAAACATACGCACATTCATGGACACAAACACGAACAGGCCAGATAGAAGAACAGCATTCGTGGGTCGAGAACTAAAGAGGTTTGACTTTGAGATTGTTGCCCTCAGTGAGACCAGGAGAGCAAAAAAAGGCCAACTTAGGGAAGAACAAGGCAACTAGACTTTTTTCTGGAAGGGTAAGGCACAAGATCAGCGGAGAATACATAGAGTAGGTTTTGCCATAAGAAACTACCTGCTTACCATACTGACTGAACAACCAGTTGGAATCAATGAGAGGCTTATAACCTTAAGAATTGGCTTGAAAAGAAATCAGAATGGAGTAGTAATAAGTGCTTATGCTCCAACTCTTGATGCTGAAGAGAAAGTTGAAGAGGCCTTTTATGCTGACTTGGATGAGTCCATTTCTGCCACACCAACTCAAGACAAACTCATCATACTAGGGGATGTTAATGCCAGAGTAGGAAGAAATCACAACATATGGGAAGGTGTAATTTGAAAAAATGGAGTGGGGAAGGCTAATTCCAATGGTAACATGCTACTAGCAAAATGTGCAGAGCATAACCTCCTAATTACCAACACTGTCTTCAGGCAAAGAGATTCAGTCAAAGTGTCATGGCAGCACTCAAGGTCAAAGCACTGGCACCTAATTGACTATGTGATAGTGAGAAAGTGTGACCAGCAAGATGTGCTTAGTACGAAGGCTGTCACTGCTGGATCGACCATCGGCTCGTTTCATCAGTAATGCGACTCAAGCTCAAAAAATATATAAATATGAAATATATAAATATGGTTGTGAAAAGTTACAAGAACAACTTCATCGGCTTATTATCAAAATCTGGGTAGAATAAAAATTGCAACCACCTGAACTAAAAAATGCTAATATAGTTAAAATTACAAGCGAAAGGGTGATCGGTCAGAATGTGGTATATCACTCTTAAGCACTGCCAGTAAGGTCCTATAAAGCGTACTTAATATGAGACTCCAGGGTATCGCAGAGAAAATCCTTCCAGAAAGTCAATCAGGTTTGAGACCAAATAAGGGAACAACTGACATGATCTTCTCTGTGAGACAACGTCAAGAAAAATACATGGAACAGAACAAACCACTATACTTGGCATTCATCGACCTCACAAAGGCATTTGATACTGTTCCTAGAGAGCTGCTTTGGGATGTGCTGGCAAGTTTAATATGATAAAATTAATGCATGATCAGATGACAGCAACTGTGCTTGTAAACGATGGTGCTTCCACACCGTTTGAAGTAAAGACAGAGGGAAACATGGTTTTCTAAAGGCGCCAACACTGTTCTCCATCTTTATATCAGTCGTGCTCCTCATTGCATACCCAAGACTACCCGAACAGTTGATTGAAATTGCATTTCGCTCTGAGGGAAAACTCTTCAACTTACGAAGATTACGTGCAAAAAGTAAGATCTCTAAATCTGCAATGGTTGAATTCCAATATGCAGATGACAATGCCATGGCAGCACATACTTAGAAAGATCTACAAACTATACTGGATGCTTTTAACTATGCATATACACAACTCTGCTTAAAGATAAATGCCAAGAAAACTCAAGTTCTCTTCCAACCCTCTCCAAAAGACACAGTTAAAACTCCACCATCTACAAAAATTGGAGAAACAGTCCTGGAGAACGTGGATAAGTTTACGTATCTCGGCAGTACTTTATCTCCTCATGCAAATGTGTACGCAGAAGTCAATCCTCGATTACAGCAAGCCGCTGCTGCTTTTGGGAAACTCCAGTCTACAGTGTTTCAAGACCGAGACATCAGGTTAGACGCAAAAATCAAAGTGTATAAAGCCATAGTTGTAACCACCTTACTATGCGGATCTGAAACATGGACAATCTACCGCAGGCACATAGCAGCCTAAGAAAAGTTCCAGCAACGATATTTACGGAAAATGATGACCGATGAGTGGCAAGATAGGAGAACTAATCTCAGTGTTTTGGAACAAGCAGCTATGTGTAGTGTGGAGAGTGTGATTGTGAGAAACCAGTTGTGATGGAGTGGCCAGGTAGTGAGGATGGAAAACAACAGACTGCCAAAACAGATGTTTTACAGTGAACTGGCAGGAGGTAAACGGGATGTAGGAGGGCAAAAGAAAAGATTCAAGGACGGGCTGAAAATTCACCTTAACCAGTGCGCTATTGACACTAAAGAATGGGAAAATCTGGCTAGGAACAGAACTGTTTGGAGGAAAGCAAAAAGAGATGGAGTGGAAAAGTTTGAGATTTTCGGCAACTTTTTAGAATTTTGGCAACTTTTAGAATTTTCGGCAACTTTGGGTTTTTTGAGGTTCTTTGAAGTCACTTTCTTCACGTTTTGAGCCACATTGGTCAGTTTTCGATAAACATTTATTAAATTTACTCTATAATACAAGAATTACCATGGGCTAATTTTTGTCATGCCTGATCACGAGGTCAGCGGTATCACGTTGCACGTTTTTTCAAGATGGCGTTTTTTCAAGATTATCATTGGAATTTGACAAATAAAGTTTTGATAAGAAGCAATGTGCGAATTTTTGATCTTTAAGACCCAAACAAGTACGAAAAGGAGAAAATTTTGGCAACTTTTCGGCAACTTTTTGGAAATTCACCAACTTTTCGACAACTTTTTTGAGAAAAATAGCAAATTTTTGGCAACTTTTAGACACTTTTATCGGCAACTTTTTTGGGATCCATCAGCAACTTGTGGCTAGGCCTACAAATGGGGGAATACATGTGTTTAGCAGTTAGTGTTCTGGGGAAGGAAAGCAAGACTACAAAGCTTTTCGTTGAAGGTAGGGTCACTTTTATACTTTACAGTCCATCGAAAGGGTGACATTCGACAAGGTGGCCGCTTAATACAGGTTTTGCTGCATGCTGTTCATTTTGTTTTCTGAGGGGTGCGACGATATCCTTCATTGTTAAGTTAACAATTATGTAATTCGAAATAGCTGTAATCCAACCCGCCTATAGGGGTGTGTTCACTTTCTTTGATTTGAATAGAGTTCAATCAATTCACGTACCGCTAGGCTTTCATTATTACCTCTATTCTATCTGTCTTTCCTACGGCTAAGCCACGAAGAACGTGACAGAGGAGAGGGGGTGGGAAATCTTTCCTCCATTTGAAGTAATTTTTTGTTTCCATTTCGAATATTGATCGAAAATGAGGAAAAGACTCAATTGATCTCTGTATACGAAACTAACCAAATTGTGGCAAAAGGTATTATGATATCCATTGCACCACACTGATTGACAAAAGTACCAGATCTTTTTCTTTCCCGTTCGAGGAAGGCACCGTGGCAGAAATAACTTCTGAAGCCCTCAGTTACCCGTCGTCTGTCATCACATGGAAACGCATACTTATGGTATTGCCAAGAGGTCGATATTCTGTTCATAGCGGCACTTTAAGAATCCGAGACTTCTCCTAGACAGATTCCGGGCTGTACGTTTGTACTGCTACGAAAGAAGCTGGATCCGTTTCAGCGACGATAGTGGCCCTGTTCGCTGATCACATTGTATCCTCTGGCTAACCTCACTAAGCCCGGCGAGGTTAGCCAGCGGCATGCAAGGATCAGGGAAGCTCACTGGTTTGTTTGTCGACTGCAGGCCGCTGGCTACCCTCACCGGGGTTATTTTTGTTACCCGGCATACTATGCGATCGGCGAACAGGGCCACGATAGCTTCAACGAGACTTATTCGAAATTGGAAAGCTAATGGAACTGGAGATAAAAGCATCGCTAGTAAAAGATCTGTGGGAAGAATTGGGAATGGAATGAATGGAAATGGAACTGCAACATCTCTGCTTTGATTTTCTGGAGGAATCGAGACTGGTGGTAGTTTTTTGGCGGAATTATTCGCTTCGGGCGACGGACACTTCTAAAATGGGTATCCGGCCTTGTCTTTATCTCAGCAGTTGAACACCAAAATATCGCTAACTCGCCGAAGACGCTTCAAAATGGCCTGAAACGCTGGTAATCAACAAAGAAAACAACGAGGTCATAAGGTGAGTCAATTTTATTTCAAAACAAGACATCTTTTCTCTCTTTTAAGGCAAACCGATGACATCCCATACAAACCTTCATAAATATAAAACGTTGCGCAACACTGTAAGAGTCACGTCCGCTTTTCTAGTAGTAAGCTTGGGCTTCCTGTGGTCCTACGGGCTCGTCAAAATATGGCACACCTCGTAAAAATACTCAGCGATACTACACAACGAAAGGCTAGTCTATATATACATATTCTCTTGCCGTACTCAGGGCTTGTCTGCTTCCACAATATATATTGATTTCGTTCCTTTTTGGACGGTTTTTTGAATGTATTAGAAATGCATTATAGTTCAATTAGTAGGATCTTCATCGAGAAGAAATTCTCGAGATCCGAAATAGAGTTTCCTAAAATGGACATGAAAACGGCTCATACTTCCAAAAATATTT